GGATTTCCAAATTTTCTTCCAAAAATATTTCTAGGTGTATTGTTTTCCAGAATGAAGCGAAATAAAGTTGCAAAGAATGCTGACTTCAATAAACTCGGTACCAGGCATGAAACTTCTTTCTACCCAGAACAGTTGTTTTCATGGGTGCTTGTAGTTTTGAAGTGACCCATTAGTGACCCACTTCTACCCACATCAGCACGTTCTACAATCCCTTATTTTGAAAATTCCAGAATGTCGGATCCTATCCGTTGACCCATCAGCGTGAAATAAGAAAAATTTGCTTTACCTCCTCATTTCGTTTTTTTTTTGAATTGGGCACATTAAGTTCAATATTTTCATCGCGTCGGCGAAAGGCATAAGTCAACGCAGTGGCACGACTAACCAGGAAAGAAAGAGCAACGAGGCACTTATCAGGACAGTCTTCCAGGACATGGAGCGCTTTTTCAAAACGGTTTTTGCATGTTATAGGGGCACATGCGTGGAGCATAAAACTGATGATCATTTTTCTGAGCGGCCCGAGGATTGCCAGAAAAGAGGGAAATCTTTCTTTTGGAAATGAAACTTTTATTTTTATTTTTAATAACTTTACAGCATTTGTAGCGTTGAATAGTTGCATTTTGGAAGCTTTTTGTTCACTGAATAAGTTTAGACATATATGAGCCCAAGAAAGTGGAAATCAGAGAAATGCAAAAATTTGTCTTCAGTGGGGATCGAACCACAAGCCCTGGTTTCGACATGTTTTTTTTAGCATTCCCAGAGCCGCTCAGAAAAAATAGTTTTCAGTTTTATAAGGGTCACATGCGAAAAGGAGACTGAAGGACTTCTTTGCTCACCACCCCTTCAAATAAATAGAAACAACTTCGAGAAAAATGTTAAATTTCGATTAAAACGTGTAACCAAAATAATACTAATAAATAGATTAGTTCGATTCAACTTGTTTCTACAGGGTGTCCCATAAATATTGCACCAAATTTTGAGCTCAAATTCTGTAGGTGTTTATAGCTTTTCTTCCGAGATTGCAGACCTTTCAATCCTCTATCCTCTTGTCAATGACCATGCCAAATTCCACGGCTTACCGTTCGGCCTGCATCTCATGGTGCGCCTAAACTTCAACAGAGTGCCTAACCTCTCACACAGCTAGGTCGGACATCCGGTGATGAGCATCGCGCTTCTTTGGATTTTCAACCGCTCCGCGGCCTACCGTGCACTAAAGAGAAGACCAATAAAAGTAGTCTTTGTTGTGGCCGCCCCACAAGTTCTGACATCTTGGATCTCAGGAAAAGCATGAAGAAGCGAAACGACTGCAATACCCGGGTTGGCTCGAGAAAGGTGACCAGAACGCTGGAGTTTCTAAACACAGCCATGTAGAGAGTGGTCGGATAACAACTGCTCACAGTCCATTATAAGTTGCATAAGCACCACTGCTCAATCCAACGGGAGGAGCACAGCAGAGACAAAAAGTTCAAAGAGCTGGTGTCGAGGGCCGAAAATGGCGATTACGCGTGCACCTT